AGTGCAACTACAAGGGAGCTGGGGGTTCAATCCCCAGGCCTGCTGTGCCAGCCCCACCCCTGGGGTGTGCTGAGCTGGGGATTGAGACTGGCTGTGGTGGCATGTGCCCATAACCCCAGCACTTGGGAGAATCACTATGAGTCCAATCTAGTAATGAGACTCTAAACACCCAGTAGACCCTTCCCTAAAAATACAAAAAAAAAAGACAACAAACAAACAAAAAAACTACAAGGGAAACATGAAGTTCATTTGGATGAGCTAGAAGAAATTGTTGGGACAAGAGTTCTACAAAAGTGGTGAAAAATATAGCAGGATTCACTTTCCACAGAGAGAAACAGAATAAGAACAGAGGTTGTGGCACAAACTACCTTAACCCTCCCACTCTCACTCTCCTCTAGTGCCTGTATCTTTACCGTATTTTTGCCTAAGCGATCTATGGCTTCCATGGGTGGCATCTATCTGCTGCCCAAATGAGAAAGTAGAGAAGAGATGGGACCAAAGAGATGGGACCAAAGAATTACACAACCACACCTGGACTTACCATGAGCTATAGAAATATAGATATGAGACAAAAGCCTAATGTCCCAAGGATCTGCCTGTTTACAGCCTCCCAAGAGCTGGGATTACAGGCGCATGCCAACATGCCCAGTCTCAATTGCCTTCTCAGTGCGCCCAGGAGACAGGGCCGGCATGGCAGGCCCGGGGATTGAACCCCTGGCCCCTGCACCTGCTTGCAGGCACTTGAATCCACTGAGCTATTTGGCCAACCCTTGATAAAAAATTTAAAATTATTAAAAAGAAATAGTGGGTTAGAACATAAAAATTAATTAAAGGAAAAACATTTTAAAGGCTTTTCAAATGCAAGTGTGAATGGCCTCCAGTAGCGCAGCTACAAAGGTGAAAGACCATTGCCCCAGGATATTTTAAAAGATTATTTAAAATTATTTTAATTCCTACTAAGTTTTATTGCCCTAAATTAAAAATGGCATTAAAAATAGGGCTTTGAGGGCTGGTGGGATGGCTCAGTGGTCTAAAGCACCTACTTAGAACAAGCTTAGCAAAGCACAAGGACCTCGGTTCAATCCCCCAGCACCACATGCCAGCCAGCTCTGCCCTCTGGTGGGCTGAGCTGGCCACACACACACACACACACACACACACACATAAATAAATAAATAAACAAAATTTAAAAAAAGATAACCAAAAACTAAAAGAAAGCCCCAGGAAATGTAGTTTGTGGTCACAATGACCCTGAAAGTATTATGAAACTCCAGTGGCGCAATTGGTTAGCGCGTGGTACTTATATAAAAATAGGGCTTTGACATTTTATAAACAAATATAAAGATTTGGAATAATGTCTGAAAGCTGTTGGGTTTAAACAGTGGCTTGATTTTCACATCCCATTTAAATAATAAAAGTCCTAGTGGTGGCCTCCAAAGGGGTACAAGCTATGATAACTTCTTCATATTTGGGTCAAGTTATACAATAAAAATATACTATGCCCCAAACTGTTCAGACCAACTGTTCATGATTTTCAGACTTTATTCGCTAATATTAATGGATTCCATTTAGAATTTGGATTAATTTCTCTGGTGTTATTAACTGTCATTGTACTTCAGATAAGTTAAATTAATTTTTTTTTTTTTTTACAGGTAAGTCATATTAGGTTAAGTGAAAAAATGTATGACTTCCTCTTCCAAAATATAAAATACAGGTTTCTCACCGTAAAATCAAAATTCTAAAATTAAAGCAATTAAAACAAAAAGGAGTCAATCCTGCCAATTTCACTTGGCAATGCATACTATTAAATGTTTAAACCTTTCTTTCTTTTTTTTTTTCTTTGTGGCGCTGGGGATTGAACTCAGAACCCTGCACTTGCAAGGCAAGTGCTTATTCTATGGACCTATCTCCCCAACCCCCCAATTTTTTAACTTTACAGCAATGGAAAGACAAACCAGGTAAGACAAAAAGGGTTAAAATGGGTCCTTTGGAGAGATGTCCATACTGGACACTGGAAGGGCCTCAGTCCATTACTAACCTGAGCAAAGGGTGTGCTTGTGTTTTTCCAGAGTATGCTAAATGGCCTATTTGGGTACCAGAGTGTACTGTCAGGCCGTACCATGGAGCCAGATCTGAAGAAGTTGACAGCGATCAGGCTAGATCCAGCCTGGGGTCTATTCAAGGAATGAACCAAATGGAAATGTAAGGTCTAAACAGGTGACAAAAACCAAAAATATAAAATATGCATATTAATTATAAATAGAAGATTTTATTCCTTCCAATTTTTTCTAATAAGAGATCTCTAATAATTGACAAATAAAATCTGGCTAGTCTACTTATAAAATTTCTAAAAATTGTAATAGAGTTGTTATAATTAAATTTGGCCAAATATTTGAGTGCACTTTTCTTTCTTTTCTTTTTCTTTCTTTTTTTTTTTGTAAGGATCTACAGTGTCTCACTATGTATATTGGACCTGTAGTGATTCTCCTATTTACAGCCTCCTAAGAGCTGTTATTACAGGCTTGCGCCACCATGCCCAGTCTCAATTGCTGGCTCAGTGTGCCCCAGCAGCGGGGCTGGCATGGCAGGCTGGGATTGAACCTCCAACCCCTGCATCTGACTAAGCAGGAGTTTTAATCCACTGAGCTATTTGACCAGCCCTTGAGTACACTCTTGATTTTGTAAAGGGTTTATCTGTCTGTGTGTTTATGTGTTTGTGTGTCTTTCAATGAACAGCTGTTCCTCTTTTTTTTTTGATGATTTTTTAAAAAATATAATTTGAGATATAGACTTAAAAGCATGTTTTTTCCTAAATTACCAGCTAGTCAAAGTGATACTAAAATTAAGGTTTAAGCTAATTAAACAAAAATTCCCTAGAGTGGGAAAAAATTATTAGAGAGGAGTCCAATTGATGAATAAGTGGTGTGGCCAACCTTTTTTTCATTAATGAGGAGCTCCAAAGTAATCTCAATAGTCTCTTAGGAGATACCCTCAATAAATAGGTCATGGTTAAAAAGTAAAGTTTTTCCAAAAAAAAGTTACAATAAGATTTTCTCTGTAAAGATTGTTAATCTCATGGTATACTAAGTATATTTATGATTCAAGGTGTACAGGTCTTTCAAAATGTAAAACAAAGATTGCTTATTGGGATAAGACTTTTTTCAGATTCAGACTTCTGCTTTTTCAAAAAAAACTTGTGATGTGTATCTAATTTAAGGATGATTAATTAGATAAAAAAAACTGTGTAATTAAATAAAGATGATTGGTTAAAAGTATTATGTTAAAACTAACCAAAAATATTTAAAGTATATCACAAAATATCAGGATTGTCTTTACTACAATGTTGCATATGGTTTTTAATTTTTTTGTATATGGTTTTAACTTCTAAATTTCTGTGTAGAAATATGCAACTTTTGTGTGTTAACATTCTGTGGGGACCTAAATATTAGAATATCCATGGACAATTATAAAATGAGGTGATAGAAGCTTAAAAGAAATGCTCATTAAGTAAAAAGGGGGAACTAGTATGGGAACACACATGTGTACACCTAGATCAATTGTTCCGAAAGCTTTATTTATATTAAATTTAAAAAAAAAAATAACTGCCAGACAGATCTTCGGCTGCTGACTGTCATTGTGATACAGGTAGAAAGACTGGTCTTGGGTGGGTAACCTCCAAATGATACAGGGAAAAATGATCTCTGGACCTGACCTGGATGAGTTCGTGTGCTCTAAAATCAAAGAATGAATTTTAGGAACAAATGGAGGTTATGAGCAGAATATATTTATTGAGGGAAAGAAAGCTCCTATCCAAGAGAGGGACAGTAAGGGGGCCTGAGTGGGTAGTTTCCCCAGGAAGCTGTCTCTTCCAGGGACTTTTATAGAGGAAAACCATGCAGTGAGGCAGGTCTAAGGCGGTGGAGAAGACAGGGGAACTTCTTAGTTGGGAATAAGGTAGGACGAAACTATGGTCAACCAATGAGATTACAAGCACCATTGCTCAGGTAAAATTGATCAAATCCAGTACCAAATGGGAAAGCAAATCTTGTAGCAAGCAGGCAAGAATGTGGGACAGGGTCTCTTCCTGTTGGGGGTTGGGCTAGTGACTCATTTGAGCTCTTTCAAGTTGATTGATACCTATTTAGGATATCAATCCCTGATGCCCAGCCCTAGGGAAGTATGTAGCTGTGTTTCCTCTTTTTGTCTTGGTCTTTAGATCTGGTTTATAGCAGGTGCATCCATCCCTTCCACAGTTGTAAAGTATGGCTTTTGTTATCTCCTTCGAGGGCCTGACCCTGCCTGACTGTCTATAATATTTCTATCTAACTCGCTGCCTGCAACAATTGGACAAAAGAAATACTGAAGAAGTGATTTGGATGCCAACTTGACAAAACCTAGAAAATGAGCAAAACAAATATTTTGAGAGAAAAATACTACCAATTTGTTTCTTGCTCTGGTGGCTTTGCTGTTGCTTCTGCCTTAATTTTTCTAAGGATAGCATTTATATTCTCAAGGCAAGGACCAGAATTTGGCTTCCTGGACAGCTACAACGCCTGTGGCAAGGCTCTCCTTCCATAATACAGTTCCAACATTTGCTGGAGGTACTAAAGAAGAGAAAAAAAAAAAAAAAGAATAATTAAACTCTATAGACAGACATAAATTTAGGAATAATAGCAGTCATGGCCACCACTACTATAGCCAGAGTAGCACAGAGCCAACGTGTACAAACTGTTCATTGTTTGCAGCAGTGGCACAAGGAATCAGAACTGTTATGGACTTCACAAGGACACATAGATTCAGAGCTAACTACTAATATAAATGACTTAGAACAAGCTGTTTTTATGCCAGGAGATCAAATTGCTAATCTATAAAGTCAACTTCTTTTACAATGTGATTGGAATGCCCCTTCATGCTGTGTAGCTCCAATTCCATGGAATCAAACTCATTTCCCACGGGAAAGTGTAAAAAAGCATTTATTGTATCGTGGTAAGAGTGCTGCTCAGATTCTGTCTCTTCAGCAACATACTGCTCATACTTTTGCGAAACAATTGTCAGAATCGTCTGGCACTGATCTATTACAAAGCATCTCTAATGGCATTGGCAACCTTAATCCTCTTCATGTTATCCCGTGGTTTAGTGGAAGCATAATAGTGATTTATCTATGTTGTCTCTGTACTGTTTGTATATCCTGCTTAGCATGGCGACGAGGACCAGTCTGGCAACAAGCCATGGATCAAACATCGGCAGTCCTCACACTGGTGCTTCAGGAACTTTCAGCATAAAAACGAAAGTGGGGGATTATGGAAATACAGATATGAAACAAAAGCCTAATGTCTCAAGGGAGCAAGGAACAATAAACAGAGCCCAAGGAGAGCTGCTGTCTCTCACTTGTAAATTCCGGCAAGCTGGGATTCAAAGCTGCAGATAACAAACAGCTTCTGCTGGTGCAATGTCTGTTCTTTGATCCCTTGCCTGGGATGTTATCAGCTAGCATTGTGTAAACCTAGTGTTAGGCAGAAGACACTAGAGGGAGTAGTTTGTGTCCACCAAAGTAATGACGTATATTCCTTATCCTGCCTTTAGCCCTCAATAAATGTGAGATGTTTCTGTGGCTCTGGGCTCACCTGGAGAGAGCCTAATCTCAGTGAGACCTCCGAAGCTATATTTTGTTTTTTTTCTGCACCAACTCCTAACATACAGCAGTGAGTTCTTCTCATGAATGCTTTCTATTCACAGTTGTCTAGCACTGATAGTCACTGTCCCGTATAAACAGTGGGTTAAAGCTTTTGATACTATAATATATAATAAGGCCTTATAATAAGACCTTAAGAAATGTGTGAATAGGTGGGCAAAGCTACAAAAACCAGGGATTTCAAGTTCCACCCTAGTCAGGGCCAGATAGCAACCCAGAGAAACACTCTCAAAATAAAAATAAAAATGGGTGAGGGCCGGGGAGATAGCTCAGTAGAATAAGCGCCTGCCTGGCGAGTGCAAGGTACTGAGTTCAAACCCTGTTACCACAAAGGAAAAAAAAAAAAAAGGGTGGAATGTGCATCAGTGTCAAGACCATGGGTTCAATCCCTACTATTAGAAAGAGAGAGAGAGAGAGAGAGAGAGAGAGAGAGAGAGAGAGAGAGATACAGAGAGAGAGAGAGAGATACAGAGAAAGAGAGGGAGACGGAGAAAGAGACAGGCAGAGTGACAAAAAGAAAAAGAAATATGGTAATATGAAATGCAAAGGA